TAATTCATAAATATTCATAATCGAATCGAAAGTCATACATTGGTATTTCGATATATGTAACTTGTAAAAGCGCCCTGAGTGCAAATTTACCAGTTCAGTTCTGATGCACTAGAATAGTTCAACAGTTCAAGCAACATATTTGTATTTTTAATGTGGTGCCATAGGAAGTACTAACTGGCATCCAATAGGATAGGTTTTATTTGAAATTCATAATGTGCTCTTTGCAGACTGGTACGAATTTTGTGGTGTCCTTAAGGAAATACTTATGTATACTCCTAAGTATGTATGCACTTATAGTATATACAAGTAAATTGACATTGTCTGTTTTTTTTTTATTTTAATCGAATGCGGATGTTTATTTGAATGCAGGTATGAATGCATGGAATATATAGAAATGTTCGCTGGGAATGCTTGCAATAAGTTCGAATGGCGGAAGTGCAAATAGTTTTCGAAATTTCGCCGGTCAAACTTTCGGCCATTGAGGGTCGATTCATTTTTATATGTACTCACAAATACCATGTATACAAAATAATTTCGGAAAATTGTGGCTGCTACTTAGATGAGAAAATTACTCTGACAGCGGAAAATGGGTGAAAGTTCATACTGCTTTAGTGTTCAACAAGCCAACCGAAAACAATTCGCTTTAGTTCTTAATTTGTTGTTTGGAAATTTTCTTAGGTTGTTTCAAATATCGCAACACCTACTTACGACCACGCCATCACCGGAAAGTTTCTCAATAAAACGCTGTTGAAAGCTATTTATTTTATTCAACTTTATATACATATATACGTACCTCAGACATAGCTTTGTCTGGTGTATATACATATGCATGTACTTGTAGTATTGGGGTGTTATTACTTTTACCAAATATTTTATATGGGATGTTTTGGCCTTTCGCAATATATTTTTTATTTCCAAAGTAAATAAATCTAAAACTTTGAGGAATTGATATTTTAATTGAAAATTTTCCTCTCTATATACATCATTTAATCCTTCGTTTAAAAATTATTCGAAGTTTAAGTTATGCATCAAATATACTAGATTCATATAGCAACAATGTATAAATCGCTTATACTTGTATGAATGCCTAAGTCTTTTGAAGTATAACTTTAACTGTATATAACTGGAAAGGAATGTTATTATGACCAAAATCCCTCAAACCTTTTTTCAGAGCGAAAAGTTTTGTACTATAGTATTATTTACTGCCGAATATCGGCTTACTTGTTTCCTATTTTATGTACACAGGAAAATTAATATGATTTAGGCACGGTTAGCTTGTTTTTTCGTGTTCTTATTTTTAGGACAATTCTGAAACTTCAGGTGCCGCTAGTAAAAATACAATTAATTTGGAATTTAATGGACACTCTATACTACATTTCGTGGTATATACTACATATAAATGTGATATCAAAAATAAATTAGTTTTGATGTTTAGCATTGGTGAAATTAAATCCAAAGTAAAAGAGGTAGAAATAATTTATGAAAGTTTTGTAATTACAATCACCATTGTCATAGATTTAACTTACCATTACTTAAAATACATATATTCAAATACATACATACCTATAAGCATTATTACCTCATTTAATTTGTTCCGCAAAATTGTCTCCATAATAAGTCAAAAGATGATTTGTAGCTACTATGAACCTTTTATTATATTCATAGAATAATATGATCATATTGGCGAAATCTGTCTAATACTCTCATCAAAAATGGAAATAAAGAAATAATTATTTCTTAAGGGAAAATGTAAATTTATTAATTTTAATTTGGCATGTAAGAATTTGATAGGATATGCCGCTAGGGAATAGAAAGACCAAAATTGCGATAATTTACCACYCAACCAATCTGAAAATTTTTGGGTATATGAGAATATGACATGTAGTGAAAACATTTGTAAGCGTGTTATCGTCCACTGATAAATTAAATACTACATATAAATATGATACATGTGCAATATATAATATATTTAATTTGTCATATACCCGCACCATATTTTGCGGACATATTCGTCCTCAGGCAAATCGCAAATCATTAGCAAACAGTGATTTCTATAATTTGTTTTATTTTTATTATGTAGGGAACTAAATGCACAAAAGGCATTTATGTAAATTCGGTTCCATTTATCGTAAGCAAACTAAGAAATTTTTCGATGCAGTTTAAACTTGAAAATATTTTCACCAAAATATTGTTCTTCTGTAATGAACTATTAACAAAAATTATGAGTTTTTCTAAAATTCGATTAATTGTAATTAATTTCAAAAAAAAAATGTAATAAATATTAAAAACTTGTGTAGCTTAACCAATTTAATCATTCCCAATTATCTAGTTCGTATAGTATCCATATGCTTTATTGACCACACACTTTAGATGAGTGAGGCCACTAATTAGCTGACCGCCATCGCCGTTAAGCGTCCAACAATATAAGGACATGCACGTGGCACGCATATTTAATGCAATACAAATGGGTTTGCTTACCAGCAATTGAGACCTCAAACCTTTGGGCACGACATTTTGCTTATCTTCATAGCGCCGCTGCCATAGTGGGGCAGGGTCATTGGTAATGTAAACTAGGTTGAGTGGCTCTAATTTAATGCGCTTAACTTCACAGTCGCGCTAAAATAGCCTTGTTCACTTTTATAAGTAAATACACAGGCTGAAACAGTATGTATGCATATCTGGTAGTTAGTTGTTTATTTTCTTTGAATTCCTACTAGTAATAAGTAATACTTACATGTATAGCTGTTTGTAAAAAGTTGAAGAAAAACGTGGTTTGACCTTCTCTGGGTTGCGTGCTTGTTAGAAATTTTCCCCACTAAACTTGTGGTATTAAGGAAACGATTTATTAAATTGTAATACACATTCACGTCCTGCATTTTCTGGATGAAATGAGAGTCAAACTTAAATAAAAAATAAATTATAATAAAACGTATAGGCAACATTAAAGTCTTTAATTAATAAAATATTATTCTCATTATAAAAACATGGAAAATGTTATACCACAATAGCTCAAGCAGTAACTTATCAAAAAATATTAATTAAAAATATTTTTATTTATTTATTTATTAAATGAAAAATAATAATACAATTATTATCCTACGGAGTAAGAAGCACTAGCTGTTAAAAATATAAACAGAATCAAAAATGTGGCACATGGTATGTTTTGGTGCAGCCTAGCAAAACGGAAAGCCGATCGCACCTAACTTACTTAGATTTTTAAATAAAAAAAAAAATAAAATAACCGAATACAACTTTGACAACGATGCTCCATCAAGGATCAGTGTTTATCCATGATATGGTGAATTCGATAGAGATTGTAAATAATAGACGAAATTCGTGAGTGTCRTCTAAATTCAATGGTAATTACGGAAACTCTTGATGCAGTGCGAGAGACAACTATAGGCATTAGTGTGCATCAAATTCATATAGCATGGCTATTTGCCTATTAAAAAAATGTTTCCCCTTGGATCCCATACAATTTGTCAATCGCTCAAGAAAATACTCGTGTCGATTGGTTGAGAGAAATTTTAAAAAAACCCAGTAGCGGTGCTTCGAAACACGTCTTCAAAATCATGAACCCAAGAGAAACCATCAGTTGACTGTATTGGTATTTATCCAACAAAATTTGTTCGCACTCGAAGCCCTTCCGAGCAAATGGTTGCAGTTTTTTGGATGTCGCAACCACATCACAGAAACAAAACGGAGTGTACATAACTATTTGTTTACCTTTCGACAACCTACATACAGAAAAGTACGCTTCCTTTTATTTCACGATACTTACCCATTCTTTCGGGTTTCTTTCACATGGCAAAATGAAATTCGTTCAGAATTCTCCTTTCACTGTCCTTAGATATGCACTTTATTTTCAATATACATTCGTCTCGCTATAATTCATTTTGTCTTTCTATTACAATACATTGTTATTACATTTTTAAATATTTTGCCTTTAAATGATCACTTTTACGATTCTTCGCCGTTTTCGCTTAAATTTCACTAATACTCACTTACATACATAAATAAGCTTAAATATATTATACAATACAATTGGTTTTGATTTTATTTGGACAATTTAACTGTAATATACATGTATACGTATATGTGTACATAAGTAGGTATTTATTTATAGAATATTTTAATATTTGAGAGAAAAGAAAATATACTAAGTTGTGCAGTTTTAAATTCAATAAGCTGAAATACGAGTACATATGTGTTCTACTTACAGCACTCATAAGCAACATGTGGACTTTCGTTACTTATTTATGGGCATATATATGTAAGTATATTTGTATATACGAATGGTATTTTTATTTGTATGCATTTAGGAGGCTTATTGCAATAATGCTTTTATTTATTAGAGCATTATTGCTTATATTTTCGAGAAACAGCAAATTAATTAATTTCGAAGTGAAAGTTTGCAATTTCATTTGGGTTTGAATTCATTTCAAGTTTCAGTAAATCGAGAGTTTACCATACAGTTAGGTTCATCGTCACTGAGGCATGCATACATAACTATGATTTCATAAATTGAAAAATATTCATTTAATCCCACAAATTCATTAGAGCTTTAAAGTTTCCGTTTTCTCTTCGTTTGATAGGAATTTCATTAGTTGGAAGTTTGGGTTGCAATTTAATCTTATTATACAATATAAGGGACATAATCCTATATGCACTATCCGTCTTGTGGCCTGTTAATGCTGTCCGCACATCACAACTGTGACATTAGATATATTCCAAATCAATATACTTGTACATATAAATTTTCTTTTTCTGTTATTATACGATTTAAAATGTTGTAAATATATCAGCAATTATCCGTTTTATAAGTTTTTAGTATCTTTTAATTTAAATTTAACAACGCTTATCCTAATAAATATTATCCTCTTTAATACACTGGAGCAGTAAACTGTTTCTTTGTAAGAATTAACATTTTCCCCAAAGTATATTACTCTGCCCAAAACGCTCAGTTTTCTACAAATACACAGATACATTTTAAGATTTGATTTTTTTTTTTTTGAATTGCATAAATCCGCTCACTGAAGTATTATAAATTTGTTTTTTTTTTGTATGGTCAGTACACAACAAATAATCTTACAATTCATAACTCTATGCATAATTGTTGTAAAACAAACCAACTGTAATAAATATAAACTTTTACAGATTTCGGAAAGTATTTGTACCCTGCAGGAAATTAAAAATTGTATGTTATTTTTTTTTAATTTCCGGTGATAATAATTGTATAAAAACATTTTAATTCGAAATTTGTGTTGCCAATAAATTCCAATCTATTATTAAATATTAAAATTGCAAAACGTTTTTTTAATTCAATGAATCAAACTTGGGCTATTCAGAACTAAATTATGTCCGAAAAGTGGTGCTGTGCTTCAATATTTAACAACCGATTGAGTTCATAATTGGATCTCAAAATCTCACATGAAATTCGAGTTTATAAATATGTCAGATAGATGATGCGATCTTATAAAATCGTATTTTCCTCTATTCCTACCAGGAACATGAAATAGGATAATGAGTACTTGTGACTAATAAAACAATGGAATAAATCAATTTTTGTATTATTGCTATATGTTAAACATATATTTTGGTTAACTGTTTTCATCAATGGATCAATGGGTATTGTAACACTGCTTACAAACAAACAATTAAACAAATATCAACGCAGTTGCAACGTTTTGAAAAGCAGTTATTGCAAAGAAACGAAATTCGGATTTGGATTTAGTTGTGTTACGATGTTGTTAAATAATTCAAAAATTTTGGCTCAGCTATTTTCAGATACAAAACAAATCAAATTTCAGATCCTATTTATTTAATCAATATTTATTTGTTGTTTTTTTTTTTTTGTTTTCGTGGAAACCGGTTATGTTAATGGAATTAGTAAGCTTACTAAGATCGGACTTGTATAATCTTACATACCATGAACATGTAATATAAAGAAGAGCGCCTTAAAAAAAATTAACAGTTGGTACTATATTTCCTGCAGAGTAGTTTCGAGATTTTCAAATACTTATTTGTGGATATTTGCATAGCCGTAATGTACCATGCATGTAGTGTGTGTGTGCATCGTATATGTCCCAACCATTTACCCTAAGTTACACTATTCTATACATAATACGATGTGTGTGCGTGTATGTGCTGCTGTTTGGGTCGCCATAAATTTGTCCGCATATTTATTCCTGGTGCGCTGTTATTATGGTCATACATATACATACATATGTACGTATTTATTTGTTTGGTGTTATGTCTCTGCCCTGTACCTCTACATGAAGCTCTTGCTTGTGTTGCTAATAACGAAGCATGCTGTTTTCGTGTGGGTGGTGGAGTTGTGTGGACTCGTCAGATGATTCCGGCATCATCATGTCCGCTATTTTGATTAGCTACACTTCCTCATAGCTGCGGCACTTGGGAACCGGTCCGGACCAATTTCCATCCGGTTGACATTTTGGACGCTCTGGCGGACCATTCTCGCTGTACTGCACGAAACCGGGCCGACATTGGACGCTCAGGTAATCGCCGGAATCGTAGTTGAATTTGAGCGGCGCTATTAAACCATTTGGTGGATCGCCGGGATAGGGGCATTGCGATTTGCCTGCACAATCGATGGAGTAGATGACGGCGGGAGAGCAAGAGCAGAAAAAGATACACAGATTTGTACAAAGCAATGAGAATGAAGTTGATGCGTAAATGAATCTGATCAGGTATATTCATACTGGGCTAACTTAAGAACACACATATGTTTGTATGTACATATGCAAATTCGTATAGTTACACACGCACTTATTTGAGTACAAACATATGGACGAGTAATCGGCTTTTTATTATGGTTCATTAGTTGATGGTTGAATTGTCAGCTGTTTGGTGTTTAAAGTTTTTGAAGAGAAATAGCGAATTCGAATATTGATTGGCCAATTTTCCTTTGAACCGCCCAACTCTGCTTATATTGAACTTCCTTTTCGCCTGTTCGTAATTCTTATGTTTTGCCTTTTTTCTGCCAATTATTTTGAACACATACACACACACGCACACACAACGCCACTAAGCTTTGCATGTGTACTTTAGGGTTAACGATTGCATACATAGGTCTATGTGTGTGTGCGTGTTTGTGTATGCGTGTGAGTATTGAGTGAGTGTGAACAGATTCGCGTCTCTTCTACATTTTCAATTTAACACCATTATTTTTGGTTTGATTCTTTTGGATATTGTTTTACTGCTAGCGGTATTACTTACAAAATGGTGGCGGATGTGACCAGAGTCCAGTTTCGGTGCAAATGATGCTCGGCTCGCCGACCAGCATGTGTCCCTCATTGCAACTGAATGTGACCAAAGCGCCCACAGTCAAACGGCGCTGGTTGAGATTTGTGCCGCCTATGCGCCCATTTAGCGGCGCCACCGGCGTCGAACATTGGATGGCTGTTTCATTATAAATTTTTCATGCGCGTGATTTTTCATTTTGATGGGGTAGATGATGGGGTTGACGAGTGCAAGATAGAGCAAAGCGAGAAGAAAGAGAGCAGATGGCGATGATGCAGTGAAACATGTATGTTGCAATTTGAACAAAAAAAAAAAACCCACAAAAACGCATCAAAACAATGAGGGAAATGTGGCTTACAACTATACTGCAATAAAAAAATACATGTCTACAGCAGAACTAAAAAACAACTAAAAATAACAATAACAAAAAGGGTAATCACAAATGGAAAACATTAAGCTCTTGGCCGCGTTAAGTAAAGTGAAAATATGGTACGAGTAAAATGGGTTTTGTCGCCTTCCAACTTTCAACACTGCTGACGTTGACGCTAGTCATTTCTTGTTGAACAGCATCCACCGCTCGCGTTGCCTGTTTGWGTTGTCAATAAAGAATTCAATTATTCTCGTACTTTGCATGATGCTGACAACGCCAACAGCAGTCCCTACTCGCCAGTGGTTCTTCTTTTTTTAGTTGGTTCCTTTGACGTGTAGGCAGGAATCAATGTCGCTGCGCGTTTGTGTTTCTTTGCCAATAAATTGATATCTGTGGCCTTTTCAAATAACCCTTCTTACTTAAAAACTTTACTCTACCGGACATTTATAAATTACATAAAAATATAGATTGATAAATACGAGTTTCATTAAAAACCCATTTCAAATACTTTTTGGTTACATTCAACTAAATGTTGGACTTAAGTCACTAATTACCCAGAGGTTTGTTTAGTTCCCCCCATTTTTTTTTTTATTTATCGACACATTATGCTCAAAGGTGATTCTATACTTTATAAACTGGTAATATATCAAATGGTAATAAATCAAAGCGAGAACGTCCAAGATGGCTAAAAATTGACCAAACAAAATTTTTTTAAATGTTTCTATAATAGTATTCTAAAAAAAAAAAGAGCACCAGACTATTTCTGATTAAATGATAAATTAAAGGTTCCTCTAAAGAAGGTTGTCTTTAGACATCAAACTTGTTTGTTCCATTTCTCGGAACTCACAGTGCAGTACAATTTACGCAGACTAACTTAAGGTAAAGACTGTGTACTTTATAGCTGACTTAACTACCTAAGGCCCTCAATACTACATGCTATATATTGAATGTGTATGCTTACACGCTTGGTACTCGTCGCTTCTTTAGTGGAATAAATAAAAGCTAAATTAAATTTTGCAAAATATATAGATTTCAAAAAATTCACCTTCGTCTTTGACAAGTCAAAGGTTTTTAAACACTTTGTGACAATTACTCACCTTTACAACGCGGTACTGGGCCACTCCACACGCCCGTCGGCTCACAGTCCAGTCTCGGCGGGCCGGTCAGCTTGAAGCCCCATTGGCATTTGAACATCGCCCGCCCCCACGCCGACGTATTTAGCTCGATCAAACTCAAATGTGGATCGTCCAACGCCAAACGGGGACACTGCACAGCCTGACAAGTGGGCGGCGGCGATGACCAATTACCCGAGGCTAAGCACGTTGCATTCGCAACACCATCTATGCGATAACCTGGAGGGCAGCGATACATGGCGCGCTGTCCGAGCTTATTACCCTCCAAGCGTAGCGTGAGCGGCGACACCGGTTCTGGTAGCTGCGGACATGTCGAGGTGGTCACAACAATTGCAATGCTATTGGTTAAACCCCGTGGTGACGTGCAGGTAAATGTGCCCGAATCAGTGTTTTGTATGTCCTTAATTGTCAAGCGATATCTTAAATTTTTGTCTTCGTGAGACCAGCCTAAAAAAAGGACAAAGTTCGTCAAATATAATATTAGAAAAACAATAAAAAAAAACTAAAGTTTCTAGAATAGCTCAATGAAGTTCCTAAAAAGAGTTAAACGTTTGATATTCTGTACACATATACCTATAAATTTTTACTTACCTGTTATATACTGCCTGTACCAACTTGTCCATGTCCAATCGGGGATGCCACGTATCCGTGGATACATACAATCTAGTAAGATCGAACTCTGTGGCAGTACCGCCAGTACGCCGGATGGCTCAAATGCACCCGAACCATTGAAAACCTTAATGCGAATGGAGGGCGCGCTGTCATCGGAGAAATTGGTAAGTAATGTCGTGGGCACACAGGAGGGCATACGCGGTGCCCATAGCCCGTTTGAGCAAAGCACTCGAGATTCGCCAAGAAGCTTATACATGCCTAGATCTTTACAGCGAGCCTGTAATGAGTGTCCATGTGGCAAGTCCCAGCCAACATTCTGAGAGTGGCGAACGATTTGACAAATTGCATTTTGTTTTTATAATATACAGGGTTTATCATTAGAAGTATGTAGTAGAAATGTTGTCGTTTTATCATTCATTTTATAAAGTTGAAGAATATAGCACAAATAGTAACAGGCGCAGACAGATAGAGAGAAAAAAGATATAGAGATGAGCAAAAACACAAGCCAAGATGCAGATTACAAACGACAGCCATACAAGATGGCTTAYAAGACAGTGTTTCAGGTGTTTATGTGACAGAAAAGCATACATACTTGTGTCAGTGTTTGGTGCTTTATTCTGTTGTCAAAATTTTGGACATCTAAATTTTCAGTAAAAATCAGTGGTTGACATAAATATATTTTCTCCTATAAGTTATTAGTTATGATTAAGTATGTACCTGATTATCCATATGGAAGTTTATTTTTAAAAATTAAAGTAATGTGGGTAAGTTCGCTTCGAAGTCGGCATAAAAAATACTCCCTGAATTTCTGTCTCTTATACACATCTAGATGTGTATAAGAGACAGATTAAAGTAATGTGGGTAAGTTCGCTTCGAAGTCGGCATAAAAAATACTCCCTGAATTTATTGTTTTTCCCCCAAAAGTTTTCATCGTTTATTCGGCGATAATTATAGATTACGGTCTTTTTTGCATATACGGACGATTGGACTTTGCATTAGGTAACTCAAATTATGTCAACCACTAATAATTACTATCAAAAAAGTTATATAATTAAAGAAAAGTAAAATATATAGTGCGAACTTTCGTACAAGTGTAAACTTATATTATAAGTCAATAAAGAGAGCCCTAAGCACCTCGGCACGATGTTGAATTCTTGGGTGTCTGAGGGCGCAGGTCTATTTATTTCAGCGGCGACCTTGAAAAATGTTAAGTGAGATGAAGTGCTTTGTGAATGTAAAAATAGTTACTCAGCTATCAAAAAAGTCGTCCAAAAGCAAAGCTAAACCAATAGTATTATTCATTACCAAATGCAAGCATCATCTACTTTGTACCCTCCCATTGCAGGGAATCTACTTAAAGTACTTTCATTTCACTACAAGTGTGCTCATTAATGCTTAACAGCCTTTTCCAAGCTCAACTCGTACACACACAGTGGTCACGCAAGACTCATGAGCATACGTGACTCGCTGCCATGTACGGCCATTGAGCCTTTGAGTAGCGGGAAGCATGCGGAAGATGCGAGTGTAGAATAGGCGCTTTGCAACGATTCACTCGAAATGTTTTAAGACGTTAAAACTCACAATTTGTGTATTGGAAATAAAAGTCGATTTGGAAGTTCGATTGCGACGCGACCCTCTTATGGACGGTATCGGGGTCTGCAAGAAAGAAAATTAAATAAGACGAAAAGGAAATTTTGGTTTGCGCTCAATACGCAAGGTAACGCAAGAACGTACTCATAATGGGTGAGATAAAATCGGAGCGTGCTTATTAGAAATAACAAAAGTACATACGATGAATCAACATTTATATACATATATATAGAAGAACTAGCGAGTGATAAAGATATGGTGTGGATAAAAAGTTCATATATGCGGTGAGTGCAAATACATATAGGCAAAATAGTTTCTAGAGATTTTAAAATTATCCAAAAATGTTATGATTTCCCACTGTGCTTAATTAATCAAGTTGACGTAGAGTATACCAAGAAATTTTCGCTGAAAAGCTTTTAACAATGAATAAATTCTAATAAATAAGTATAMATATATGTTTGTGTGAATATGTTCATTGCAAATTTTTGAACTTTCAAACATTCGAAACTCTAGAAAATTTCTGAAATGCCTCATAAATGGTTGCGAATGAGCGTAATAGTCAAACGTGTGTGTGTTTGTATATGTATATGTGTAAGTAACATTCCGAAAGTTGAAAATGTGCCAAAGAACACTTTCATTTCCACTGTGTCATTGTGTATTGCGGATATTGTTCTCAACTTACCACTGAAATGTTTCGATAGCTCAATAGCAAATGCGGCGGAATTCGATTCACATGGCAACTCTTGTACAGAGGCTGAAATTTCACATTTCCATTATCGTCTACAGGAATGGGTTACAATTTTGTGAGAAATTTTACAAAATAAATTACATATTGAGTGAACTGCTTCAGACTTTTATATAAAAAATACATATGTATGTATGTATGTGTGTTATTGAAAGTAGGAGCCAAGTGAGTATATGTGTATCAGAGTTTTGTATGTATGTATGAACATGAGGTTTATCGTTGAAAAATTAAAACAAAATGTGTGCAATGGCCAGTATACTCATAAAACGCTTTATTCCATCTACTCCAGTTGTAAATAGGTATGTTTCTATGTATTTATGTAAGTATGTTTTTAAATGCTGTATTTGCTACAATTATGCTTATATGTACGCATATACATATATTTGTTTAATCACATATAATATTATATGGTTTAGAATCTTTGTGGGTATACATGTGGTTGTTGTTTTTTTTTATTTTCTTTGAATTCTTTACCTTAAATTCTCTTTAAAGTGCATATAAATATTTCTATTGTGTGTTATTATTGGAACATATCTATTGTATATTGTATATGAATGTATGTTCTCTGCTCCCACGTGTTAATTACTAAGTATGTATGTATGTTTATATTGCTTAATGATTTGTGTATTTGCTGCAACGTTATTCGAGTTGGTAATGTCCATGATGTTTTCGATACTTTGATGTAGCTGTGTGAGTGAATGTTGGTTTGATGGCCTTTTCACCACTTACCCTCCTCATTAGTGGCGCATAAGGGACCAACCCATTTTCCTTTGACGCACCGTATTTTACACAATCTTCTATCGCCCAATGGTCCAATTTCGCCCGGGAAACGTATTTCAGATACTTCAGTGAATTGTTGTTGAATGTCAATTTCTTCCTCTTCATCCTCCTCCTCTTCTTCATCGGTTTCATCGGGATGTACGGGAGAATAACCTCCTTCTTCATCGTAAATTCCTATGTAAAAGTACAATATTTATTTAAATTTTAAAGTGGAAAGTAATACAGATTTGGAATATTATGAACTTTTCGCAATATGAGAAAATAAACGAAATATTTTCTTCAAAGTAAGCAGTAAGAGTAATTTTTAATTCAATAAAATTTTTTAATSGAAAGTGTATGTATGTATATACATATAGAATCGTCGGCAACGATAATAATTCTCCACTACCGTTGAACGCTTGTCTATAAGTAGTCAATCGCTCTTATCCTCACCACTTTCTCTCAGTGATCACCACGTTCTTTAATTATATCAGAAAAGCGGTCATGAATACCAAAACCAATTAACTTTTATTTCAAAATCAACGATTAATGTAATGTTAAACATGTTAACATGCGTTTGTAATGCACAAGAATTTCGTGCATTTAGCTGAATTTACCAAATTTGAGTAGGCAACACTGCTCAAAAATGGCCGATTTTTGCTATTTTTTGACAGATGTCGCTTGAAGTCTGCTGCCTCCTTTGCGTTTACAGCATCAGAGGTAAGCAGTTTTATATTGCTAATTAAATTAGTGCAAATATACTAACAAAAAGAAATTTTAATATTTTTAGATGGCGGAAAATAGACAACGCACAGGTTGCTATCTATTTTTCCAATATTCTTAACTTTTCCGCACACTTTTTCCGAATTACAATCAATTACTGCTTTTAATTTCACTCTATTATCTTTTAACGTAGTTAATAATAAACGAATTTTTTCCTTAAATTTATGTTGATTTTCCWAAAATACCCAAATTTCTATTAATAATTTATGTTATTCATTTTCATTTCACTTTTTTTTTATAAATAAACAAAGTTCACTATCAGCTGTCTAAATGCACAAGTCTGCCGTCTGTCACCATAAAATTTCAATGCGCATTAGCGTTGTTTAAGGCGCATAAATTTTGCTCGTATGCCAGGTCTATTATGACCTAGGGATGAAAAATTTATGCATCTCAAAATGCACTTAGATTAGAGTGGGAGGATTCATGACTAATTGGCTTACCTTTATCTTTGCGACTTGTCGTTTTTGAGCTAGAATCTCCGCCGCCTTTGGGACGACTCAATGCGCCGGTTGTCTTGCCGGACTTGCGTTTGACGCGCTGCAGCGCCTCTGCGCCCGTCTCATTGCCATACACCGCCGGCACATCGCTATCGTCCAGCAGCTGCTCTTCAGTTATTTTATTAAATATATTTTTGATAGTTTTGTTACGGTCCCGTCCAATTCTTATCGTTTCCAAGTCGCTATTTTCTGCCGCATTTTCATTCGCTACCGAATCGTTGTAGCTGCCTGAAGCACTCGCTGTCATATCAGTTTTCTGCTTCAATGCTCCTGAGGCAGCGCGTCGATAACGTGAACTCGGGTTTAGCTCTCCATTCAGCATTGGCTGTTCAMCTCGTTTTTCTTCGTGACTATCACCTCGTCTACGATGATGTTTAGCATTGGGTTCTTTGGTTTGCATCTGCTTGTTCTCTACTACCTGCTTCGATAAGTTGTTGAAGCTTGCCTTTTTCTTTTTCTTCTTCGCTAAAGCTTGCTTGCACTGCTTTTTGTTTCCGACGTCAGTGCATGTGGAATTCTTTGCTTTCGTTTTATGCTTCAATTTATGCAACTTTAACCTGAGTTCGGCGTTGGGTGTACCCGACTCCAATATGTCATCAATATGCACATAGTAAACATCGCCTTCAGCAGCTAATTTACTACCGCCCCATTTGTCCGTATCAGAAGAGGCATCAGGATCATGATGGATCACCTGACGCTTGTATCGGCTGCCACGACCGCGTGTTTGTCCATTTTCGTTTTCGATACGACGACGACGTCCTGATCCAGAACGCCGCTTCTTGTTTAATTTCCGATTCTGGTTCCGTTTGGGTGTGCCATCTTCGGAGTCTTCCGCCTCGTCCTCCTCGTCATCGATGGCGGCGAGTGTGTCATCAGCACCGTGCACCCCTGCCAGGCCGTGCTGGTCATCCAGATCGACTTGGTAGGGATTAACGATAGCGCTCATCTTATTGTCTTTGACGCCAGGCTGACGGGCGGTCAGATCAATATTAATYCTTTCGACGAACTCTGCATCGGACGTTGTAAAGTCATCTGGCAAATAAATCTGAGTTGTCTCGAATTTCGCATACGGTTGTTCAGTGGTTGTTTCCGGTCGTATGACAGTAAAGCGTATATCAGGCGCCTTACAACCCGGTGAAGCATCTGTAAAAAAGTTCAAAGAAATCATAGTTTAAAATGCTCCTTTGTACATGTAGAATAAAATAACACGATAAAATGTATAAAGTATTATAATATTGTTCTCATAGGCACTTAATTGAAATGTAGAACCAAAGTGCAATTAACCGAAGTACCAACGATTAGCTTCGAGTGTCAATGTTGAAGCGCTTAAACACTTGTCTTTGAGTAAAGTAAAACCACTAGAGATCCTCTACTACTTGCAAATGTTATGCTGCATTTAAAACAAGAATCCCCTGCTCTTTATACGGTTTATGAAGTGTGTTAAATTGAAAAATTAGGTTAAGTGGTTTCTATTGAATTAAAGTTACAAAAAGGGATAGGGGGCTGAAATTTGAWTACGGTTTTGTATTTCTTGTATAAAACAGTTTATTTCCCAAACTAAACAGATGTGCACACACATGTACATATATATGCATACTACTTTGTAATGAATGTGGACTAATGTCCTTTATAATATACATATAGGACCTCTGCTGCAATGCCCTCATTGCAATCTCTAAAGATGTGTAAAAAGAGGTCACTTAGGTGACGAAAGACGAAACAGAAAAAAAAACAATTTTGTCTCTGTTTTAAAGATGTGTATACTTATGTCACTATTTTTTAAATGAAAAATAYATATATAGTATGTGTATGTATGTATCAGTATTAAAATTATGAAATTTTTTAGCCAGAGGTGGGTGAATGTTTCAGACTCTAATATATAATTTTCTCTTTCAAATATCAGACACACAAATATCCTATACGTTCATAGCTTACTCAATTTTTATACTCTTGCAACCAGTTGCTACAGACAGTTATAGTTTTGTTGCTTGAGATATCTTRAGATACTTSGTAMATAGGTTTCTAGTTCATAGATGGYCGAAATCGGACCMCTGCCACGCCCACAAATCACCATTAACCGAAAACCTATAAAGTGCCATAACTAAGGACTAAACTAAGATACWAAACTGTAAYTTGGCACAGGKGAATGCAGTAGCAAGRGKCGCCTGTGAATAAAAAATTTTGAAAARTGRTCGTGGCCCTGCCTCCTAATGAGTTTAATGTGCATATCTCCTAARCCGCTAAAGCTAGATCRACCAAATTTGCCCAGCACGAATTTGAAAAAACTCAAACCGGTTCGATCAAATTGGATGAAAACCCCGCTCACTTCCCATATAACAGTACTGTTCAAAACTACTAAAATCAGTGACTAAATGGGTCAGAAACGTCAGAAAGAAGCAATTAATATAACGGCATAAAACTTTGCACGAATAATGCTCCTTAGTGTATGCCACCTTGTAGCAAATATTGTTCAAATCCAACCAAAACTGTTCAAGACCCTAGGTACCGAATATGTGAACGCCAGTACTCATWGTTGACTTTTGTTCGAAAATATCGGTCAATGTGTGAGATATGCAATAGAAATTCAGACATAATCCTTTTCCTGCAGTAGTAATTCTTTATATCCAAATTGGGTGGAGTCAGGTTAATACTTCCCTGAGCCCCATATACCAAATATACAGATTTTCGAACTTCCTTGTGGTTTTATCTGGATATATCCCGTATTGGAGTCATCTCAATAAAAATTTCAGAACGTATTTTAACTTAAAAACTTGACCAACCCCATATAACCATTTCCTGGATTTTCAAACMTCCGGCTGATTTTGTATAATTACTAAGAATAATGGTTTTGGGTTTTCTAACAAATCTTAAGCCAAATATATATTTAGGTCAGGGTATAAGTTACAAATGGTGTATGTATGTATAAAATTGCTTAGACTCCCTTCTTTGGCTTACGTTTTACATCGTAAGGCATTTCGCTGGCTTTGATTCCTGCAAGTTGCAAGAGTATAAAATGTTCGGTTCCACCCTAACTTAGCCTTTTCTTACGTGTTAATTTTTATTCTCTAGACAGTATCGAACATCGTAGAGAGTCAATTCAGCGCCTTTCGCAGCAACTCAGACTAACGAACGACTTAGCAAAATATAGTTTGTGCAAAAATTGAAGCCGTTTGATTTTCGAAACGATATCAATTCTTGAAACATTTCAAGAAAATCCGACGTTTTCGAGCTAATTTTGTTCAGCGATGAGGTCCATTTCTGGCTTAGTGGGTATGCAAAGAAACAAAATTGCTGCATTCGGGACGAGGAGCAACCTGAAATGATCCAAGGGCTGCCATTTCATGCAGAAAACACAAGTTTTGTGTGATTTRTAGCAGGGTAAAATCATCGGTCCAAGTAGTTTTGATGCCTGAAATTAAAGCTCGTGATTTCGGCGATTCAGGACCCGCCACTCAAAAAACAGTACCAATGAAAACTAAACGGACAGCCTCGGATGAGAGACCCACTTGAGGACTATGATTTGAGGGCATGTACCTGGAATATCCAGTCCTTTAATTGGGAATGTGCCGCTGACCAGCGGGTTGATGTCCTCATGAAAATAAAGGCTGAAATCATCGCCGTCCAAGAAATGCGATGGACGGGACAAGGACTGAGGCAAGTAGGTCCTTGTGGTATTTACCACAGTGGTCATATACAGAAGCTGGCTACACCACCCCGCCCCGCCCCGTGTCTGGCGACTTTAACGCCAGGGTGTTCAAAGAATGTTCGAAACCAGATCGATCAATTGTGATAGATGCACGACATGTTTTCAATCGTTCGGTCCACTAGTTACTTGCTGTAGCGAGGATGCACGCGCGTTACGATCGACCACTACACGTGCGGGATGGAATAGATAYCRAGAGTTGAAGAGGGAAGCRAKAYGYATTTGCAGACAGAAAAAGAAAGAGGCCGGAATGCGTGAGTATGARAAKCTTGACAAGCTRGCCGACAGAGATAATGCTCGAKAATTCTACGAAAAGATGCGGCGGATAACTCAAGGTTTCAAGCCGGAGCATWCTCTTGTAAAACCCCCAAAAGTGATCGATGCCTAAAGCATACTTAAATTATGGAGGGAACAATACTCCAGTCTGCTTAAAGGCAGTGAAAGTACAACGCCAGGAGAAGACGAACCCGATTCCCCAATCGATGACGATGGAGCACTGCCCTCCCATGAAGAAGTTGGAATAGCAATTACCCGCCTTAAGAACAACAAAACGGCGGTTACCGGTGGATTGCCGGCCAAGCTATTCAAACATGGCGGCAAAGAACTGATAAGGAGCATGCATCAGCTTCTTTGTAAAATATGGTCGGACGAAAGCATGCCCAACGATTGGAATTTAAGGGTTCTCTGCCCAGTCAACCACCCATCGTAACAAACTGATTGGACCTTATCTCTGTGATGTTAGACCTGGCAAATGAACAACCGACCAAGAATTCACCATGCGCCAAATCTTAAAAAAGACCCGTGAGAAGAGAATCGACACACACCACCTCTTCGTCGATTTCAAAACTGCTTTCGACAGCACGAAAAGGAGCTGCCTTTATGCTGCGATGTCTGAGTTTGGTATCAAAGCAAAACTTATACGGCGTAAGCCGATGATATTGATACCAGTAAAACCACATCCAATAATGTCAGCAAATAATATCAGGCTTGGACTATGACAGCAAGTCGACGTTGCWAGAGAGAAAAGTTCTGCGAAAGTTTTATGGTCCTTTGCGCCTTGGTGACGGCGAATATTGCATTCGATGGAACAGTGAGCTGAATGAGATATACAACGACATTAACATAGTTCAGCGAATTAAAAGACAGTGGCTTAGCTGGCTAGCTCATGTTGTCCGAATGGACGAAAACACTACAGCTTTGAAAGTATTCGATGCAGTACCCTCCGGAGGAAGCAGAGGAAAAAGAAGAATCCACTCTGTTGAAGGACCAGGTGGAGAAAGACCTTACTTCGCTTGGAATATGCAATTGGCGCCACGTAGTGTCTGGCGCGCTTTTGTTAACTCGGCTATAATCGCGTAAGCGGTGCCTACGCCTACGCCACCATCTAAGAAGTAGAAAGAGGCAATATTCAAAAAATAAATGCTAAAGCATGTTCTTTCGAATAATTATAAACATCCTCCATTAAAATTTGAAGTTTTTCGTTTTAACCTCAAAACTTGCAATTGAACTGGTATAATATATCATTTACCTAGGCAGACTCACCTCATTTTGTTTTGATATAGTCATATACCAATACTCCCACTACCAACAACATACACTTCTCTCTTC